GGCTATGCTAGGCTGGCAGGTTTTGGTTGTGGCCGTAGATCCCCCATGATGAACCTTTGGGCTCCGCTCAAGATCCTCGGGACAAGAACAGGAGTAGCCGCAACATCCCAGCCAGCGTCAGTTGCAGGAGCCGCTATCTATTGAGATCCCTGCTGGTGGTCATGGTGGTGCCAGCGAGGCTCCATTTCAAGGGGCTTCAATGGCAATCAGGTTTTGCTTGGGTTCGCATGAAGTGTCTTCTTGCATCTTCTTGCCGTGGATGATTGCATGCTCCTGCTTGCTGTTAGCATTTGCGTAGATCCTTGTAGACCTCAGTTGTTCTGCGTCTGGGGTAGCGGTTGCTTCTAGACATGGAGGCAGAATGAGGCAGATATTGGATTTCCTAGAGCGTTGCATGGCTAACATTTCCTGACTGTCTGTATCCCACCCGATGGCTTCTCCAATGATGATGATCGTGCGTGCTCTTCTCTTCGCGGTCTTCGGGGCGCCGGCAATTTTTGCCGCACCTGCGTCTCTAGAGGAGTCTTGCCTTGAGTGATCTTGAATGATTTGGGGCTTTGCTGGGTGTACTATGGTGTAGTACATATAGCTGAGTAATGCTGCGTGAGACCAGGATGATACCTCCACCAGCTTGGACGAGGGTTCGTGGTTTCGGGCCAGCCAGCATATCCCGGAGCTCGAAGCCTACATGAGCACATTGCCTCGACCCTTTTTTGCAAATGCTTAGCTGGCGCAATTCTTCCCATGAACTTCCCATTCTTACTCTGAGCCCCTGTATTCAGTACCACTCGGCTGAGACGCATCATGGAATGACGAACATCCTCGGTAGCCCTGTTCACCCCCTACCTAGGCATACCATGGCATACCCAAGCGTGATGAAGCCACTTCAACCGCCTACACCTTCTTGCTTAGGCGAGAGGAATGTTCACTGCCTAAATTTGTTCGGCATGTCCCGAACGGTGATGCGCGCCTGGACAAAGCGGGGCTATGAGGCAAGCGTCATCTTCTATGTTTAGGAAGAGCGTGGAAGACCTGTTGTGGGAGTTGTAGGCTTTAGCGGAGTCTACAACCATTACACAGAAAACGCCAGCCCTTGCCCCAACCTGAGCCCGGTGGCAGGCAGTGGCCTATGATATCAAGTTGGACGGGCGTGCCATGGATATCACCGGGCGTCGTGGCTTCCGGTTCTTGCTGCGTGCCTGGTCGCAATGTCTTGCCCTCTTGCATGTTGACGAGCATCGCTGAAGTGTAGCTGTAGCTTTTTTTGCAATCCATTATAATCCATGAAGCTTTAATAAACCATGTTAGAGCATATTACAGCTGTGCCAGCCCTGCTGGGGAGATTCTTCTAGATTTTATGATTCTCTAGATATCTCTAGATCATTCTATATCATTCTAGATCCTCCCAGAGACACTTAACGCAAGTTGCTTTGCAATGCCCTAAGGTACTGCTATGTGCCTGGTGGATGGCGCCATGGTGCTTGGTGGTCCCCCTTGCAGTCTGCAGGTGTGGATGCAACTCAGCTGCGTTGGGTTGCAGCAAGCCTTGGGTTTCCTGGCTTAGCCGGTCATATCGCAAAGTCAAAAATCGCCGTCGTTGGGCGCTCTGTAGATACCTACTTCCTGCTGCATAAGTGGATGACCCCAGGAGCAGGACAAATACCTTCTCACTTGTATGATGTTGTATGACTTGCGCAATCTTGTCCACAATTATGCACAGTGCCTGCCCTGTAAGGTCTTGCTCCGTTCATCAACGCAGCGAGAAAAATCCAAAAGGCGACGAGGGCAACCTCAAGGTTCGGCTCAGCAACCTCATTGCTGAGAATACAGCTGCTTGGTAGACAAAAGGGCTGATGACGGTTGGGAATTCATGGTTTTTCCATGCTTGTCTTGATCCGTCTTCATTCCATATACCATCCTGTGTCTCATCCCAGCATGTCCCAGCAAAGGCTACCTTCTTGACATTGGCTGCCCGACAGGGGTTGAAACTGTTCTGGGTCCTAGAGCAGCCATCATCCAGCTGGATGTTTCGTATGCCACGCATGCTTGAACTCATTGCTGCCTTTGCTGCGATCCGGGTATGTACCTGGAGTCTTGACTTATCTTGGGCAATCTTGGACATCTCGGGCATGCGCTTCTACTTGTCAGTGCTCATCCACTATCCTCTATTTACTGCGTGTCATATCTCAGGATGGCTTTCTATGGCCACGACATGCTCAAGCCTTCCCAACTGCGTGGAAATCTTCCGGGTCTTGAACGGATGAAGCGTACCATGACGAAGGAAGACCGAGAGAAGTTCAAGCTGAGATTCGTCTGGGTCTTAGCTTGATCTTTGATATATTTTGATATTGAATGATGGAGCAGTCCTGCAGGCCATGTCGTGGCCGATCAGATCAGACCGTGTCCAAACCATCATAAAATATCATAAACCATCACAAAGATGATGACACCCTCCATCCCGAACCCTAGATCCGCCGGCAGAATGCGTTTTGCCAGTGGGTGTATAGGCCTGGCAAAATGCGTTTTCGTACGTGGAAGGGCAGCGTCCTGAGGCTAAGCGAAATGCCAAGCGCAAGAACCCCCGCGTCTACATCAAGAAGGACTGTTTCTTCGCACGGAGTATCACGGAGTCCACAAATTTCCAGACCTGTTTCCCATTAGCTATGTGTTAGACTGTGGCACTAGTATCTGTTGATTGTCAGTGCAGATTCCAGATAACTGTAGATGAGCCGCGGGCACGTGTGTAGCTTTCTTGAACATTGTTGAACTAGTCCCTTGCTGCAGGATCACAACGGGAAGGTCTCTGGTGGCAAGAACCTTCCTCAGTCAGCGGCCTACACAAGCTCGTTCTGCGATGCTGTCTTCCGGATATGGCTGAAGGCTTATCAAAGCCAGGGCCTGTGACGAGTGTGCTCTAGAGCGGAGACACGAGGCAGTAGATGCCAGGATGAGGCAGGCCAAGTTTCAGCCACTGATAGCCACTTGGAGACGGCAGATGCCTCTCTCCGAAGCTTCTCCCAACCTGTGGGGAAACCGGCTGATGGGGGACACATGTGAAAAGGTATGTGCTCTGTGACTCTTGCCTGTTGCATTGTCTTGGTGTACGTTTGCACATGTCACTGCGTGCTGGCTTGCCGGACCAATTTGAAGAAATGGTCTGGCTTCAGTGGGCGAGCTATCCGGCAGGCGGACCGATCCACCGGTGCCCACGAAGACTATGATGACTATACTGAGCTTGTTGTGGATGATGCGAGTGAGGCCTGATCATGTTATGTCATGTTATGCCATGTTCGAAGTTGAGGATTACCATCCGCCATCATCCGCCCATATCCACCCTTAAAAGCATGGATGTTTCCTCTCCCATCCTCTCCCTTGACCTGGCATGCGCAGCCTACCAACACATACCAAAACCCATCTAAACCCTAAATCCCCAAACCCTTGACCCTAGTCGTGATGGTTTGTGAGCAGTGGTAGAGCAATCCGGCAGGCGGAGCAATCCATTCGTGCCCATGAAGATTATGAAGAGCCATCTGTGGATGATACGGATGAGGCCTCATCATGTTATGTCATGTTCGAACTTGAGGATTGCAGCAGTCCAATATAGCCTACCAAAACCTTCCAAAACATTCCAAAGCAATCGAAAGCCTAAACCCATCACAACCCATCAGAACCCATCTAAACCATTCTAAACCCTAAACCCATACCATCCATACCCCAACCTTAATCCCAGTTCCGAGCAGGTGCCGACATCATGCGCAAAGTCCATGGGAGTGGCAGTGAAAGCAGAGATGGAGGCTTGTTCTGAGGGATGCTGAGCGTTAGCTGGATTTTGCTAAGACGGTGCATAGTTAATCAGATGTCATCATGGATGGGATACGCGCGGTAAGGATTCCTAATGGTTGCTAGGTAGTGTTAGGCATTCCTTCTTAGATGAGGCTTATAAGGATTCATGAGTATTAAATGGGTATTCCTGGACAGATACCTAGCAACCACAGGACGTTTAGAAATGGGTCCAGGGATAGGGGGTCAGGGCCTCATTTTAAAGGCCAGGCAAGAGGCGGAGGGAGGGTCCCCACCGCCCCCATGGACCTAATTTGTAGGGCTTGTAAGGAATTCTAGGATATTCTAGAGCTTTCCCAGGAACCACGAAGGGGTTGGAAATAGGTCCAGGGATAGGGGGTCAGGGCTTCATTTTAAAGGCCAGGTAAGAGGCGGAGGGAGGGTCCCCACCCCCATGGACCTAATTTTGGTGTATCGTGTAGGGCCTTCTGTAAGGATTCCTAAGGTATTCCTGGCTATTCCGTCCTAGACCTTTCTTAGGTGATGCTTACTAGAGAGTTC